CCACAGGGCTGCAGGCCGTGGTGGGTCAGGGAGCTCCTTCTGGATGGCAACCACAGGCTTTCCTTTGGCTTTCCCTGGATCCTGTTTTCCACTCCGAGATTAAAAATCTCCCCTCAGGGGAGAGTGAAAAGGAAATTGTGTGGTAGGCTTTGCTATGTTTCCAGCTGACTTTTTCCATAGAAGTGGGCAGTTGGGCCCAGCGTTTCTTAAGATGCCTTTACAGTAAGGGTAAATCCTGATCCTGCAGAAGGCAATAGCAAGTCTTCCGTTGGCCTCGGTAGGGCCATAATTTCTTCTTGGGTTCAAGATGCATTCGGAATTACTTTAAGATCCTGGGGACTGAAAAAGGTAAAGGCACAAATAAAAATTTCTCATTCAGAAGCTGTTCACAGTGCTTAGCTCAGTTCATCGGGTTTAAAAATATTTTCAATGTTTTTCTGATCCTGTTTATTAAGAGTATATCGGTACTATCCAGGGGCAGATATTATCTAAGGATCTTTGACTCTTCAGTACCTCTCTCCTCTGTTTTGTCAAAAAAAAAGGAGAACAAGATTAGTTTCTCAAAAACGATCAGTTGCAAAATGCTTGTTTTGATTTTGGGGTCTTTTAAAAGAAGTTGTCATCCCTATTTGAAATGGAGCTACTTTCACTTCCATGCATGCTGCTAACATGAATGTCTAGAAGGTATTTCTACCATCATTTGTTTTTCCAATTCTTTGTAAAAGTTCCATTTCATATTTTCTCAGAACTGTTTTTTTCTTGCAGCAGTTCTGGAAATAGCTTTTCTTCACAGGCAGTAAGGGGATGTGTACCATCCATGGAGGCAGTCTGGAGAGCAGGCACAGGCAAACTGCAAAACAACATAACTTGTGGAATTAACACTTCACGTTGACACCCATTAAAAATATTCAGAGATTGACTCAGCCTGCCTATGCTGCACAAATAACATGCTTGGCTCTGAGTGATTTGAGATCTTATCTGCTCTCAGTGCATGTTCAGTGTGGAGGGCCTGATCCTGTTCTTATTAACTTCCAAAGGAGTTTTGCTCTTCACTTCAAAGAGAATTACATCAGCAGCATTTGCAGTGAAGCACATGCAGTTCCTGTATCTTTTCCCTTTTTTCTTTCTTTTTTTTTTTTTTTAAAGTTATATTCTAAACTACAGCAAAACAACAACAACAACAAAAGAGGCTAGAAAGCAGCAAAATATTTTTTTTTCTGTTGAAGAGGGTTCTTGTATGAAGGCTCTGTTTATTTGGAGTTCTTAAGTGCAAACTGAAAGTAGAAACCAGCAAGAGCAGAGATTATCAAGTGTTTGGTTATATATAGAGAGACCAGAGCCCCCTCCATTCCCATTGTCCCTGTGTAGGGAGCCTTGCACAGTCTACAGTATCCTTTGCACTTCACACACCTACTGGCAAAGGCCTCACAACCTGCTGGAACCTGGAGCTGAGCAGTTACCTTCTGCCTCTGTTAAAACATCCACACAAACAACAGTGCCTGCAGTGGTCACTGCAAACAGCTCTCTAAACCCTGGGGAAGTCAGCAGCATTCCTTTTGTGTTTTCTCTGTGCATAGCTTTTGAAAGGGAGGAGGCACGTATGGAGGAGGGATGGGATGGAGCAACCATTGGGGATTTTGTTTGTTTTTCTGTTTCTTCCAGGCTGTCAGATTAAACAGCAGAATGAATTCACTGGCATTTTGCCTTTTTAGTTTTATTGTTTTGTAGAAGAAAAGCCTTGTGACTCTACAAATACCAGTTCCTGTGGGGAAAGGGGGCAGCAAACACGTCACTCAGACATTCTCCATACTTCATGTGTTTTAAAACACCTCTTTGTGCTGGAAGCTCCAGCTTCTGGCTCCACAAACTCATTGCCCACCACGGTTCTAGAAGAACCATCCCTGTCCATGGAGGCCCAGAGGGGACCCCTGGCCTCTGCAGTCCCCTTTCCTCCACTTCCAGGCACCTGCCTTGATTCAGATGCTGATCTCCACTGTGTTTGTCCGTGAGGTCGTCACACAAGAGCATCATCCGCTGCTACCTGGTACCAAATGGTCATGAGATGGTGACAAAACTGGATGTTTCATCTGCCAAACTCAAACCTATAGACTTCAGTTTAAAGGGTCTTGTATCCCCATTTCCTATTACCTGAAGCCTGCTTACCTGGTTTAAAACCCGTGAAGTCATCCACTGTGGGGGATGCTCTGTGCTGTCCTGAGGGAGTAAACGTGAACCAGCTCGCTTCCAGTCTTTGGGGGTTTTTCCCCCTTGCCCTGTTTGATTCTTAGTCAGCCTTGCCAACTCCTCACCATGCCAAAAGATGGTTTTCTTACCCCCATGCTGCAAATGGGGGCAGGCATCCCTCCAAGCTGTTTCCTTCTTGCTTTGGCAAATCTTCTATCACGAGAGTTGGGGCAAATGACATGTGGTGACATGAACCTCTGTTTTATTCTCCACTGTAACTACATCAGCCACTGGAAGCTTCGCAGCTCTCTGGTGGGTCCCGATGAGTGTTGCCATCTCAGCCTGTGCTGGTCTCCACGAGTATTTGTTGAAATATAAGGGGAATCTAAGGCTGCATGTTAGGGATTAGCATGCCTAGCAGGACTTAAAATCTGTGTTCAAATGTTAGTTCCAAGGCCAAGAAATCAGGAATAGGACTCAGGACTCAAATTTACCATACCTTCCTTGCTTGTTCTGATAAATAAGGTAATTCTGAGGCTGTGTCTTTTTTTTTTTCTTTTTTTTTTTTTTTCTTCCCACAAAGAAGCTACTAAGCATCTTAGGTTTCTCACAATGCAAGATGGGAAGAGGACTGAAGTTGTAAAAGTTTCCTGTAAGGACAGGAAAGTGACCTCTTGCTGAAACATCATGACAAGTGCCTGGGGCTTGGCTCTGTAGTTTGGTCATAACACTCTGCACTGTCTTCTTTCTGGTGTCAGGAGAACACAAATACCTTTCTGAATTCTACTGATAAATGTTGACATGGTTAATATGTAAGTAAGCATGTATTTTTAACAGTAAAACTGCTGAATGAGAGATACATTGAAAGGTTTTGCTGGAAACTCTGTTACTTGACTTTGAATTCAGAGAGTCTATTTTTCCAAAATATAAGCTCTTTCACATCATCAAATTATTATATTTGATGCAGGTATTCCTGATACAATTCTGAGGCTTGTTTGAGGCAAAAGGCGAGGTTAAATAAATCTAAATGTTGCTTCTGGACTTAAACTCTATCTGAAATGACAGCTGCAGGAGTTCACCTGAGCCTTCTGCTGCTGTCGTGCAGTGCACTGCCTGACATTTGGAAATTACTCAAATGCTTCTGCTCTGAGTTCTTCTGGTGGACGTTATCAGGGAGCTTCAGAGCGGACCTTAACGCCTGGTGTGAAGACGGGGGGCGGCAGCATGGCCATCAGACACCGCGCTGCTCAGCAGGTGGGCTAGGATGCTGCAAGGGTAAGCAAAGACAGGAGCTGTGCGGTGAAGCCATTCTGGAGTGAAAAGGATGGAGGAGGTAAGGGAGGATGGCATATCAATGTGACAATAGCTCATTATGAAAGCAGTGATGTTCTTCTGTCACGTTCCTCTGCAAAAAGAATTAGTTTTGATAATCACGAAAATATGTCCTGTGGCATAAAACAATCCCTACCACCTCTGAGTCTGTTGAGAAGATGATATTATTTTGGCAAGTGCTTTAATAGCCACTGAAATGCCCAATGCATGTTAACAATCTAACCAATAAGTTATAGGTCCTTTTTTTTTTTTTTTTTATTCATTGAGGAACATTGACAAAACTGCAAACATATGTTTCTGTTGCTAAAGCTTAGTCTTATCACAGTTTGAAAATGTGGAAAATCAATTACATGCTTTGAATTACTCCCTTTATTGCTATAAAAGAATTTCTTCATTCTTTCAGGGTAGTGTACACTTGGTAACATCTACCGCTAACAGGCTGTTAGGACTTTCTGCTAAATTAATACACTACAAGTAAACTAAACAGAAGGCCGGTGGAATGCTAAACATCCACTTTCTCTTCTGTTGTGGCTGTGCCTGCAGCTTGGGAACCCTCAGCCTTGTTGCTACAACATCTGGACAACATTTGGGGCTGTCTCTCAAGTGCACGGGTGTGCACCTCCGGTGAATTTTAACTTTCAACATCTCTCTGCCTCTAATCTATATTTAATGTTTCATGACTAGTAGTCAAAGAAACTTCAGCTAAATATCAGGTTGGAATGAAAATGATCCTTGGGAAAACACTCATTTTCAGCAATCGCCGGCAAAGTATCTGTGACAGAGACATTCCCTGGAGATTTGTAGCCCATTCTCTCACAGTAATAATAATTAAGACTCGTGATTACTGTGCCCACATAATCAAAGATCGCTTCATAAAATGTACTCCCTAAAGGGAAGAATTCCCTGCTCCTAACTGGATGTCAGTCAGAGGGATCAGCACCCCCAGGGATCTGGAGTCTTTGCTTGCCCTTTTCATTACAGTGTTGTTAGCATTGTGTTACTTCATATTCTTCTCGATGCAAATGAGTAGGTAATCATGTGTAAATCGTGCCCTCCAGAAGGCACATGTGGTGAGTTTTTTTCCCCAAATCTACCACAGGGATTTCTCACATGGAACATAATTACATCTCTGCCATATGGGCTCATTTATATTCTATTACAGGTTAAGCTAATACGACTCAGAAATATGCTAAAAATACCTCAAAGTATTTTGAGCACTGTCAAAACACTTGTCATTTCTTGCTTGCCTGTTTGATTGTGTATGACTTTATATTTATTTAGAGATCCACAGTGCCAAGTAACTTTAGAAAAAACAAAATAAGGCCAGTTCTGTGTCGCCCGCTCTCCAAAAAAGTTTAAATTCTGTCCCATGACATCCTCTTCTAGTAATGACAGTGAGCAACGAAACCAGAAAGCCTCTAAGATGTATTTACCTGAAGCAACATCTCTGTGGGTTTTAGATTTCCCAGGAGGAGAGGAGCATGCATTTCAGCTGTGTAGCTTTGTCATTATTAGACTAGATCAGGTCTGTGTTTGATGTAATTACTTTGTCTTGACAAAACTATACCTGCACTTTAGTCATAATAAAAGTACAAACCTCTCTATCCACAGAAGAAGGGCTACTGTGGAAAGAACAGATGCCTATAAAAAGATCGTAAGATAAGAATAGGTCAGTGGTGAGTACCATAAATAAATACATTTAAACTGAAGTAATTAAAGGCATTGTTTTCAAAACTGTGTTACTACACAATAATAGGTTATTTTCCAATTTCAGCAGAAATTTTTAATTTCACTGTAAGATTTTATTTGACAAGATTTTTATTTTATTTTTTTTTTAGTTTCACTGATTTCTAAAACTAGTACCAGTAACATCTCTGAATAAAATCTGAGTTTACTACAATCAGTTTTCATTTTACTCTTTTAATTTGCATGGTAAGTATTTCAGCCTTTGAAATTTGATCAGATTTCCTTTATTCCACTAGCTAAGGAGGAAACATAATATAATAAGGAAGATCAGGCCAAAGGATGGGAGAGGACTGTGCCGGACCTGCATGCAATGCAGAAAGAGTGGCCAACCTTAGTTCAAGGAGACATTTCCTAGAAGCCAGAATGGGGTTTTGAAAGCAGAAACTGCATGTTTTCTATAACCATGAGATAAAATTCGTTCCTGGTTTATAAAGCCTTTTGAGGTTCTTGGGGATGAAAAAAATCATGTAGATATACAATAAATTCTATAACTATGAAACCCATCCTGGTACCTTTCTAGAGCTGGTTAATACTTCTCAGAGCTTTTCTGGGAAGTGTTTGATGTTCCTTCCTTCCTTCCTTCCTTCCTTCCTTCCTTCCTTCCTTCCTTCCTTCCTTCCTTCCTTCCTTCCTTCCTTCCTTCCTTCCTTCCTTCCTTCCTTCCTTCCTTCCTTTTTCTTATCGCTCTTTCTTTCTTTCTTTCTTTCTTTCTTTCTTTCTTTCTTTCTTTCTTTCTTTCTTTCTTCTTTCGTTCTTCGTTCTTCTTCTTTCTTCTTTCTTTCTTTCCTTCCTTCCGTCCTTCCTTCCTTCCTTCCTTCCTTCCTTCCTTCCTTCCTTCCTTCATTCCTTCCTTCCTTCCTTCCTTCCTTCCTTTCTTTCTTTCCTTCTTTCTTTCTTCTTTCTTTCTTTCTTTCTTTCTTTCTCTTCTTTCTTTCCTTTTCTTTCTCTCTCTCTTCTCTCGTTCTCTTTCTCTCTCTTCTCTTTCTCTCTTTCTCTCTTTTTCTTTCTCTCTCTCTCTCTCCCTTTTTCTCTTTCTTTCTTTTTAATGATACCATAGAATAATCAATATTTTAAATTATTCAGCATTTGAACATCAAGCCCAACATTTGCTGAATGTTTTTGTATGTTTTTAGAGAACAATAATTATCACTAATACTTTGTCCTCAGACCTCTGTGCAATGATGTGAGTAAGCAGCTAACAATGTGTGAAAAGTCCCCTTAAAGTCTGTAACATAAGTATTTTTCAATAGTTATCTTTCAAGACTTATTATTCAGTCAAAGCCTAAAAGCTGTGTCTGTTATTGTGCAATAGCATAAAACTCACAGGAGTGAGTTTCTGTGGCGTTTACTTTTTTCTGAACAGACACCTTTCAAAATCAGCTGAAACAACAGGGTTTTGGTCAGAACTGTGCACTGGTCATTGCTGAATAAGGAGACTGACTGTTCAGCTGCATATTCATTATAAAAGGGAAAAAAAATCAGGCCAGCTATGAGTTTATTACCTGAGAAAAGTATTTTTCCAGCCTTCGTTATTCCTGAAGCAGTGTGAGGGACACTGCAGTGATTTCATACATCAGGGAGACATAAAGAAAGAGTGGTCTCCTGGGCTGCGGAACAAAGAGAAACAAACTTCAAATCTCAGAGCAAACTCCATTAAATAATGTTTTAATTCAGCTGTCATAGGCATTTGATTAAAGAACACACTATACAATTTCTTTTGCAGTTTCTATAGCCCTGATCATGTAAAAGCGTCCCGTGCCCTTGGAAAAACAACCTCCCCCCTTTGTGCACAAAAGGGAGTCTTTTACTCAACATCTTCACAGCTTGCCTCCTTTTTCTCCAGGCAAGGTTTTTCATTTTCTTTCCACAATTTCATTTATTATAAAAGCGCGGCCACTGTGGATGCTGCACAGAAAGATCACTGCGTGCCTGTCCTGGTTTTGTCGTCTTCCACGGGCAGCTGGCATGGTCTGGTACTGCATCGGGTTGGAGCTGTGCCGTGAGCCCACGACCATCTTGCCATCCCTCTGCCAGGCTGGTGGTGTGGGGTGGGATGGATGGGTGATAGTATTCCAAAATAAGAAATAAGGGACAAAATAATGACCCAAAATAAGGGACAACAGCCCTTCCAGGAGAGGGGTTACCTCTCTTGTGCTTTCCTCTCCTTTATTAATTGCATGCTGAAGGTGGGAATTCGGTGCAATTTGCATTGCGTATTTATCAGCCATATGCCAGTATGTCGATATTCACCACCAGAAATTGGCAGGCATGGATTTTAAAGCAGGGATTTCTAGCTGGAGCTACACACATATGCTCAGTTGTGACTTTTGCATAAGGCACTTCATTTTGCACCTGGGTAGAAAGTTCTGGTCTGCACTGGAAATATATGCATTTCATCATGCATACCATTTGCAGGAATAGCTAAGATCAAGAGCCTTTGTATGAAAATTTTATTCTTAATAACCACGCTGATGTTTTAAATAATTAATTCCTGGATCTTCAGTTCATCTCCTGATTATGTTTGGACCTTCTTTGTCATCTGATGGGTAAACGTGAAATTCTTATGCTGTCTAACATTGCCTACTGTCTGCTAATACCCAGCTCTCAGAAACCCTCTGTAAATAATTATAGTTTGCATCATCCATTTGGCTAACGCACAGTGACTGCTCTCCAAATCTGTGTAGATGATAATCTGTTTTAATACCTGTACAAATCAATTAAAGCTATTTTGTGCACTGTTCGTTGTATGCCAAATTGGGTGGGAGAGTAAAAGCACTTAGCAGGGGAATCAGACTTCAGATAAATGTGAATTAGATAAGCTTTGTAACGTGAGTCGGGAAGGAGGTGAAATTTAACTCCCTCATCTACAGACAGATTTAAAAAATGGCTACCAGAAACAAGAATATAGGGCAGGGCTGTTGAGCCCTTACATTGCTGAGCATTTTCACATTGGATTTATCACACTGAAGCTTGACAATATCATCTCCAGGGTGGCTGAAAGGATGCAGAGTTTCTTCCAAGTCACTTTGATGTGTTTTCTAACACAGAATGTAGGAACTGTATCTTCAGACCTCCTTGTGGGGCCGGGCTTCTGACCTCATGGTTTCTGATCATCATCATTACAGTACCTATAAGTCTCCAGACTGGCTGACCATAAAACTGGCTGTCAATCTGAGGCAGTTTATGGACTCTGTAAGAGGGGCCAGGTTCAAGCCTGTATGACCCAGTTTTCAAGACGTTATCTTAGACTGTGTGAATTCCATCACTTACAAACTTAAACCTTCTTTGAGCAATATATATCTGGCAAACCTCCACTTTCCCCTTCACAACTATCCTCCCATAGATAATGTGTAGCCACGCTGGGTGAATTTAAAGTTGACTGTGTCTGAAATGCTTTATACGCCCCCCTAAAATCCACAATTAAACATTGATATGGATGGACTTAAGAATAAATTACTAAAGACATTTCAAAATATGTGGATGAAATCCTGTGCCAAGGAAACTCTTATAAGGCAAAGCATATTTAAAATAAATGCTTATAAAATTTTGCAGCATATGGCATTGTATAGAAAAGATCGTTGTCAGAGGGCAGATGGATCAATTCATCCCAATATTGCTGCAGTACTCCCAATTGCAGGTACTAAAGGCAGGTTGTTTGTAGAAATGAAAGTATATAATTTGTTCACTTGGTTTCTCACTGTTGAAAACAGAGAATTTTTCCCATCGTATGAAGAATCTTTTTAAAATACTCCACACAATAAAATTGCTTGGGGAGAACAGAATGCCAAGCAAAATGAGTAAGTATTTTAAGTCCATTCCTCTCATAAGAGAACATCATGTTCCTGTACAATTCTGGTTTGTTTGGAGAATTTTCTGGGTAATACATAAAGAGGGCAGCCTGATAATCCTGCTGCTGCTCTGGCCAGAGATACAGATCTCTCCCATGACCTTGTTTTGGGTCTGTGGTCTGTAAAATGGGGTGGTGATGACTGCTTTCCCTTTTCTTTGTGCAATCTCCAGCCCCGTTGCAAAATGTTAACTTTGGTACCAGCTGGCATTATTGCCCACTCACAAGTCTTTATGCAACTGTTGGCAGCTAGCATGTGGATCTGGGCAGGGTGATGGGGCTTATCGGGGGCAGTTAACAGCTAACTGCAGATGCCTTGGACGAAGGAGCTGGAAACCCAGCAGTGAACAATCACGAGGGAAGTTTTCCTCACAAGTCCTCCTGTTTCCCTAAATACTAGAATGCATCCAGCCCATAATTTTCTGTGCAATCTAATGCATCTTTGGGTATTTTCTTAGCCCTTTTCACTGTTGAGTGGAAAGAATGCTGAGTCCTTCTGAGTAGAGGAGCCAGGAAAACAAAAAGCTGTATGTAGGTCTGGTATTGAAAGGCTGATACATTTGATGTAGGGGCAGGTAAGAGCAAAGCAGCAAACTGAAGAGTGAGATGCAGTCCCTGTCTTGCTGGTTCCTTCCGGAGTCTGACACTGGGTGGACTGTGTGTATGTATGTGTCACTCTTCCATTAACTAATACTGGCCTAAAGCTATCTATCTGATAATGTCTAACAACAAAATCCTGCTGCTGCTACCCTGCTGGTGCCCATATTGCTCATACAAGCAATTTTTGCGGAACTGAGACACCAAAGGAGAGGTCACAGCCTGAGGTTATGTGGAAGTCTGTAGAAATGCAACTCTAAATCATGTAAAGTCACTCACCTTGGTTTTAGAGTGGCCATAACTACGGATAAATTAGAAAGGTAAAATATATTAAAAAAATAGCGTAGGAGTCTAAGCAGAATGTCCATCCAAGCATTGGGATAACCCTATGAAGTTCGTGACAGTGAGTTTACTCTCCACACAGTTGTAGTCAGAGGACTGTGATCAGAAATGAGTCCAAATCATATTGAATGACATTAAAAGCATTTAAAAATGAATAATTACCCTTCTGCCCTTTCTCCTCTTACTTTTAAGGCCTTTTTATCTCATATCAAGTCATGTAAATACACTTTAGTGTGTGGGCAGGCTCACAGCTGGTTGTGCGCAATTTCCAGGCCCTGTGTAGCTAAGTGAGTGGTCACAGGCCTCAAGGCCTGCTTCACCAAATGCCGGGCCTGAATTTGGTTACCAGAGTTTGGACAATTTGTTTCTCAACTTTCCACTTTGAACAGGGCAGTCAACAAGCACACGTTGGACTTTGGGCTGTGACCAAGCCATACTACTGTTTGCAGAGGTGTAAAAAAATGCAAGAGTGCAGGAGAGTGTAAGGCAAAGCACAAGAGCATGGGCTGGGAGGAGATAAGGTCATTTTGCATATTTTACTTTCTCGCAACAAAATACCACTGATAAATAGCTGCAGATGTTAGGTCAAGACCGTGCTAGGTCAAAGCACCTGCCCACCTGCTGCCTGGCCTGAAGCAGCCCTGCTCGCATCTCCCCCAGGGGAAGAAGTTACAGGAGAATGCATTTAAAAACATTAATTTCCCTTTATTTAACTCTTTAAACTGATTTGACTACTTAGGGCCTGACTGCAGAGATCCTCTACTGACTCCACACAAGCAAGAGTTGTCCTGCTGACATGAGTAGGTTGCTAGTGAAAACATGTTTTATTCAAGCATGGTGCAGAGCCTTTCTTTTAAAGTATATTGCTCTCATGCTTTCTGGGCTCCAACTCGATTACTAAATCTGTATTTTTTGACAAGGGATGCCATTGAATGGGATTTTATTTTCTGAAAAATAATAAAAGCTCATTCCACTCGTCATTTTTGCATGTGTGACATAGATGGGTTTTGCAGAGGCAAACTGAAGTTTACTTTTTTGAGAAGTTTTGTTACCTTTCTTCCACTTCGTAGTTGTGAATATTTTACTTGCTGCAGACAGCCTGCATGCTGCTGGCTTAAATTAATGACTGAAAAAAAAATCTCATAAAAAATGAAAATACCCATCTTATTCGATGTTCTCAGTAAACTTTTGCAAAATCTTTTGTAGCTGAAAATATATTATTGCTTTTTAAAGGCAAGGTGTGAAAAAATATCATACTTTGCAGATAGACAACTGGCTTACAATATGACAGGATTAAAACTAGAAAGTCTGAAGGACAGTCTATCTACCCCTCCACAACTATAATCATAAGTTCTGTTAGTCACTTGAGTTTTTACATATCATTTTCTTTCCATAAACATTTTGTATATTTTTACTGCCACTGTAAGTGTACCCCAGAGTTTTTAATTAAAGATAAAGGTATCAGAGATCTTTCAGTTGATTAAGAAATTTTGTTAGAGATATGGTCTGATTTTCTACTAGTTTGTTTCCTGCATGCTTATTTCCACCAAATAAAAGAATTTGTTAGATGCTGTAAAACCAAATGCAGTTTTACTGCACCCTTGTTTTGTAATGATTCTGTGTGAGTTGCAAGGTAATAAAGCATTCAAGAGGTATGTGCATGTACCAGGAATTATCAAATATTAATGCTATTGGAATTTAAATGAGCAAAGGATAAGGGATTATAAAAACAAGATTGTACCTTCATTTCTTGGGAAGGAGGAACAGTCCTGACGGCCCATGGCTCAGAAGCCAACTTCATATTGACAACCAAGCCATCAA